ATAACCCCTGAGAACGTCCAACTCAATCCTATTCTTCTTAAATAATCCATATATTATGAAGAAAAAGCCGTGAGAAAATGCCATCATCGCCACCGATTGCTTTTGCGGTCGTCGTTGTCCACTTCATCTTTCTTCCTAGTCAACAGTCTATTGTGTGAATGCAACTCTACTTGTACAGTACCTGTTGACGTAAGCTCATCTTTCCTATGTCTCGGGTGATACCATGCATCACTGTGCTACAATTCCCGCTAGCTTCATCCTGTTTCCCTGTTGATCAGAAGCCGACAACAAATCTTAGTTTGTAGAAACATTCAAATGCCCGCTTAATTATCCCATAGTGCAACTTCTCTTCTCGATCTAATAGACAAAAACAAATCAAAGCCAAGGCAACGAGAAGATAGATCTATGAGCGAGGAGCTTATCAGAGACTCGAGGGTTTCGTTCTTGACGCGCGAGAGAGAGAGAGAGAGAGGAAATAGGATTCTTTGTTTGCAGGTGGATATTAATTACTTTTTTCGCTTGGGTCTTTTGGACGGCCGAGATCTACTGCTGCGTTCTCTGATGGGAACTCGACTTATCATGTTACTGATCGATCGGATCAAGTTCGTAGCGGACTCGGATCGAAATTGACGCAATAATGATCCAATTACTTACGCTTCAGTATCGAGAACCGGATCGAGATTGATCCGGATGAGCCTAACCCGAAGACGATGCCTTTGACAACTAATTGGTGACTCACCCATAACATTAACACGGGGATTGTTTTTAAAATATTATACTAACTAATACATTGAAATATAACAGATCGATAGCGTGACGTGCAGGCCACATCACCCAGAAACTTTCCTCGGTTGACGCATCCGCTTAAGAACAGGGTCCGATGATGGAAGCCGCGGCAGTGAATCAACGGTGGATCGAACGCACACCAGATGTGTCGATATATAAACCTCGGTCTTTTAGGGTTAGGGCTTTGGCTGCGGGTTGATAAGATAGAACGCCGAGGTAAGCCGCCCTACTTTTGCCCTCTCTCGTTTGAGGGTTAGGGTTCTCGATATCGGTTGTATTAATACTACATTTCATCCGATTGATCTCTCTGTGTGCAGTCCGCCTCTCTATCCGGTGGTCTTCGAGCCGTTGTGAGGTAATTCTGCCCGATTCTTGACGCTCAATGTCCTGTTGTCTTTCTGCTTCTTGTGATGCTTTGTGGAAAAAGAATTATAATTGTGGTTTTTTTTCTGAAAAAACGGTTCTTTGTTTTTTGGTGCTCGCAAAGAACAAATGGCGGTTCCATTGCTCACGAAGAGGATCGTCAAGAAGCGCGTCAAGAAGTTCAAGAGGCCCCAGAGCGACCGCAAGATCTGCGTGAAGGTAGGATTGATTTGTTACTCCTGGTTTCCTAAATGTATTATACACGTTTGGTTATTATGCTACATTTGTTGATGGGTGGGTACTTGGTTTTGCTGTAAGCTGTTGACATTGTAGTCGATTCATAGGTCGCCCTCTTAGGTTGATTCTTCTGTCGTAAGGGGTACTGCCTTTGTCTTTGTTTCTATGTCTTGTTATTGTCACTTGTATACGTTCTTTCCTAGTTTTTTCACAACAGATGATATTTAATGATGATATGTGGTAAAAGATGTAAGTTTATGCATAGTTACATTAGATCGATTGATCACGGTGCTCTTTAGTTAAGTAGACTGATGAAAATGTGAGTCAGCCGGGTTTGGTGAAAACTTGCTCTTGTTCTATGCATACTTGTTAAGTTTTGTCAATCATCCACAAAATGATTATGGAAGTTTAGTTTGGATTCTTAAATTTTGGCTGAGTTGTTTGACTGAAGAGAGGCTTCTATGAGCATTTATCCACATAGATTACCATTTGACTAATAAGAGACTGTTTTATTCAAATTGAAAAAAAAATTGACATCATCTTTTGTAATACTTTATAAGTTGCTTCACCATCATCCAAATGTTTCATTGAATTATTGATAATTGCTAGGATTAACTTATTCTTCTCCTTTTCTTAATGCCTGAATTCAGCATAGTGATATTTAATTTTAAATGAAGTTGATAGTTGCAGTAATCTGAACAATAATTTTTGGAGCAATATTGAAGATTTACTTCTCAGAATTAATCTATGAATATTGCAAGCACAATATAAATTACTGAGTTTAATGTAGATACATGTGACTGATTAGGAAGATTGCTATATTTTGTAAAGGTCTTGGAGTCCTAGTTATAACTATAGATGTCAGATTGAACAGGTGGCCTTCAAGAAACATGTAAAATGTCCTAGGAGTTAGAATTCCAATTTCATTTGTATCGAGTTACATTTGTTTTAAAACATGTTCATTTTGTATCCATAGACAAAGTGAAAACTGTAACGTGCGTGGGTTAATAGTCACTTCAGTGTGCTGATGTAAGAATTGTGATTGTTAAGGATTACAGTTGTTGTGAAATTATCTATCAAACAGTCTTCTACATGGTTAAATTATTGTTCCCAAGGAGGTGTACAATTTTGTCATGCTTTTATATTCTTCCCTCCTCTCTCTCTCTCTCTCTTACTGAAGGAACTTATGGTCAGTCTTGTAATTTCACTAGTGCAAAAGTGTTATGATTGAGAATTTTGATTTGTGCTTTAGTTAGGCCAGCTTTAGCCAGCAGATTTCAAATGCTTTGATTTTAGTCAGAAAATGATAGTATTTTCTCGTAACATTACCCAATGTTGCTAGCATCTTCAGATCCCTCTCTCTGTGGCTGTGGTAGTACCTATAAATTTGAGCTATCTTCAGAGTCTTCTACTTTCTTTAATGCTTGCATTGATTGGTTATTTTCCTTTTGCCTCACAATTTGAATATTATGGTGACAGACAAATTGGCGTAGACCTAAGGGTATTGATAGCCGTGTAAGAAGAAAGTTTAAAGGATGTATCTTAATGCCAAATATTGGGTATGGTTCCGACAAGAAGACACGCCACTACCTGCCAAATGGATTTAAGAAATTTGTGGTTCACAATGTTGCTGAGTTGGAGTTGCTCATGATGCACAACAGGTAAACCCCTACGAATCTCGCATCTGGGTTAGATATTCATATGGCAATTCAAATGCATTATTTGTCACTTCCTTTGTTCTAATTATCGTTTTTAATTTCTCTTTCAGGACTTATTGTGCTGAAATTGCTCACAACATCTCGACAAAGAAGCGCAAGCATATTGTTGAGCGAGCCGCACAGCTTGACATTGTTGTCACCAACAAGTTAGCAAGGTTGCGCAGTCAGGAGGACGAGTGAGCTAATTGTCATTTGTTGCCTGGGAAGTCTACATCATCATGCGGTTCAAAGTTCAGTTTTCTTTAATTAGCACATTGTGATTTGTCAATTTCTTAGTAGACAAATTGTTTGAGATACCCTGTTGTGTTGCTTGAAAACTAGTTTTGATAACAAGAGTTTGGTTATTTGCACCTTATAATGGTTAGTCAACATTCACATAATTGGCTCAAGCTTCAATTTTGTGCTTAAAATTGATTATGCTGATGTGAAGGTTTTATAATGCAATCTTTTCCATGCTGCATCATGTCTTGGGTTTTCCATGATGTTACCTAGCCAAATGCTCTTCCACATGATTTCATTTGGAGTGCATCTTTTTTATTCGCATCATTGATCTTATGCATGAAGATTATATCACCGGAATTAAAATTCATGATACTTATTGATCTATGGGGTCTTGTTAACCACAACGGTTGACTTGACCAGTAACTCAATTCACACAATGCTAGATGACGAGGGTAAGAAATGTCTTTCAGGTGGATCAAATTGTTCCTAAAAAACCATTCCCAGTGGAATTATTTTTTCACAAATTTGATGTGGAAAGATGTGCATCTATAAATCTCATTCATTTCTGCAGAGGATTGAATCAGTCCAGCTCAATACAAATCTCTGACCAAAAAAAAAAGTAGTGTTCATTGTCTTTCTTGTTCTTGACAAAGTCTTGATACAGCATCAAAAACCATATCCACCCTCATAAAGAAATAGAAGACAAAGACCATGACTCACCGGATCTTATCTTCTCATGCCGCATAAATTTCAATATAATCTATAATAATTAAAGAAGACTAGGCTTTTTGTGTTGTACATATTTTTCCATAAAAAATCTAATTGAACAAAGACGGAGATATATCACTATAGGACATGGTGATATATGCAGCACTTTCACGTGACATATTTGAGGCTATTCTTTTCCATGAGAACTGCTAAATTAATTATTACTGATTTCTTATGTGTATATGTTTTCTGATATTTGTAAATAGTAAAGGACGATTTTTCTTTAAAAAAATTCATATTTTAGGTATTTTTAAATAATATCTCATATTTAGTTTTTCTCAATCAATACTAATTCAAAAAATATCTAAATTATTTCTCAAAAAAATTTCTTATAATATTTTGATTTTATAATGTTTTATTATGGTAACTAAAGCATTATAAAACCTACTTAAAAATACTAATAAAGGAGTCAAATAGAATTAAAATATATTAGAAACCATTTGATATATCATATTTAAATAAGTATTTTAGGAATAATATCACCCAAATAAAAATAAAATTTTAGTTTATTATAGTGCTTTGATCATCATAATAAAAATATTATAAAATCTATTTAAAAATATTTTTAAATAATAAAAATAAACTCTTAATCTCTATCAAGCTAATTACAAACCTAAAAATATGATATTTTAATGATTAAACGAAAAAAACCTAATATATTTTCACTTATAGTATTTTTAGTGTCTCAATAAAAATACTATAAACGGTAAACAAGCCAAATAAAAAATTATAATAGTTTAAAATTTGTAAAAAAAAATAAGAGTGAAAATTTAATGAGAAATTTTTTAGAAATATTTTGGATATTTTTTAATTAAGAGTACGGTTTTAAAAAATAATAAAGCGAGAAGAGATAGGTATTTTTTAGGAAAATCGCCGAATAATAAATGCCATGAGGACTAATATGACAAAACTCCAAAATTACCCGCCCACTGTTTCTTGTCCGAGTATGAAGCGACGAATCCAATCCATCTCTCACTCGCTTGCACGCCTCTCCGCTTCGTTCTCCTTCCCATCTCTGCCGACTAGATGGCCGAGCCCCGAACCCTACCACCCAATTCGGCGAGGGCACTGCCCGATTCAGACGAGTTCTGGCGGGAGAACCCCGGCGGCGGTTGGGCGACGGCGGTCGTCGTGCTACTCCTTCTCTCGTGGCAGCTCCTGCGGCTCTTCTTCTCCCGTCGCCACCGGGCGGCCTCCGTAGCTGCGGGATCGTCGCCGGCCTCGACCACGATGGGGAGTTTGGAAGGAGGTCCTTCGGCAGGGTTTGTCCAGGATCTCATGATTTCGATCCCTCTTTTTTTGTTTTGTTGCGGTTGGTATCGGTTTGACACTGATAAAAGAGTTATTTTAGATTAATAAGGTTCGCGTGGATCTTTCTGCAGGATATCTAAGCTCATAACTGATGCTGATCTGAGAGACTTGATGATTAGTTTGGAGGGGAATCTCGAAGAAAATGAGAGATGGAAAGATGTGATTGAGAAAAGCAGTGATCTTGTGTCCTACAAAGCGAAGTGCTGCCGGCCAAAAGTATGCTTCTGACTAATTTGTTAAGACGAAACTGTTATGTACGCATGAATTTTGGGCTTTTGGCACTTTATTGTTTTGTCATATAGTGTGATTTTAAGCGTTTGATCATTCACTAATTCAGTCATATAAACCAGTTACTTCAGCATCATTTTTTTCAGACATAAAAATGGACTCATCGAATCTCAATATGGTATTTCTTTAAAGCTTCTAATGTAATAAGATAGAAACTTAATTCTTATGAATGCTTGAACGGCTTTGTCAATTGTTCATGACTTCATGATGGCATTATGTTTATTTTATTTATTTATTTATTTTGTTAGAAGCGATATATAAAATTAACAGGGATAGTAGCATGTTGGTGCTTTTTACGCGTTCTGTTTCTGCTGCTGAGTAGTTTTGAGGTCCCTTTTCCCCCCTCTTTTGGTGGGGAAACTGGCTACATCTCTTGCTTAAAACATCAATCAGATGCTCATGATCACTGCTTCCCTTGGTTCTATAGAAATTATTTGTGAAATCTAGTCAGAACTGACACCTGCTTAATTGCAAGAGATGATCTTCTTTTTCATGCTTGATTGTTTTGTTGCATCGATAACCTTAACCAGCTATAACACTTGATTGTTTTCGTACGTAACTATGTGTTCAATTCCCTGGTCTGCAGTATAGCTCAAGGGATGAACAAAACAGTGCCTTCTTAGATACTTTTCTTGATTTTTCATGCAATTCCAACATTCAAACAGCTCTTGTAAATAAAGTCTAGTTCAACTCTTGCACTTTAACGTTGCCTAAATGTCACATTCTTTAATTTGTATCATACTGTTCTTTATTTTAAGGGTGGACTACTGCAGAGACTTCCACCAATGTAGTGTTTGTAGAGCAATCCAATCTTCTATTTAAGCAAATTGTGGAAGACATTTACTTCAAAACTTTCATCTGAATTTTACTGTCATGGTTTCACAGGATGGTCCCCTTAAATACCTTAGTGTTACAACATTCGAGAAATGTTCGGCAGAGTTATTAAGGGATTTCTATATGGATAATGAGTACAGAAAAGAGTGGGACAAGATTTTGATTCAGCATGACCAACTGCAAGTTGATGAAAATAGTGGGACAGAAATTGGGCGTTCTGTAAAAAGGTTTCCACTCCTGACCCCAAGAGAATATGTATTAGCATGGCGTGTGTGGGAAGGAAAAGACAAAACTTTCTTTTGCCTTATTAAGGTATTGTAAACAAATATTTATCAGCCAGCAAGCTTGCGGAGATAATTGTACACATATATAGTGGCTTTATCATGCTCAATTGGTGGTATATCTTCTATTTCTGAAATCTTTTGGATTTTATGCAGCTTAATATATCTTTTATTATTATCATCCAAGCTTTTCTTTTAAACTGACAACTTAGAGTAAGAGATACTGCTAGGTTCATCCATTAGGACTATGGCATCAATTTTTTTTTCTGATAATACATCAAACTTGAGGATACACATTAGTTTAATGAAAGAAACCCAGATATTGTATCTTACAACTGAAATAATGATAACTGAAGATGAACCACATTTCAAGGCATTGTCACCTATCTGATAAATGAATTTAGTGCCTATTGCTAATGTTGTTGCAAATAGGGTGGTTAAACTGATAGTGGCGGATGTTATTACAGAAAATAGATGTGAAATAGAAATATCTTATTTTACCACTCAGAATTTCTGAATCTCGGATACTCATTTTCAATCATCAGGATATGACCAACAATAGAATTATTCAAGTATATGGTTTTGTAAATGAGGCATGCAGAGTCATCTCAGATGGCTGTGCTCATCAATTGAGGACATTGTCCTTGCTAAAAACAAAATGATGGAAATAGTTGACCCAAAGTAGTCAAGTTCTTAAGACTTATTCTTATATATCTTGCAGCCTTTCAAGAATTATGAGGGTGTTAGCTATGAAGAACTTAATAATACATCTCAATGTCTTGGGATCAAATTTTGCTTTCGTAGCTTAACTTTCATAAGAAAGAAAGAAAGAAAGAAAGAAAGAAAAAAATGAGAATTATCGCTTTTTATATTTTCTAACTTTGCTCTGATGTCTTTTTTTCTCTATAACTTTAAATATTTTTTATTGTTTTTGTAGGATTGTGAACATCCTCTAGCTCCACGGGAAAAGAAGTATGTTCGTGTTGTTTTTTTCAGATCGGGTTGGTGTATAAGAGAAGGCAAGAAACTTCTCTTATCAAGTTTGTGATAACATTATTGTTGAGTAACGTGTCATCTGACAATTGCTCGACTAGTTGCTTGCATCAACTTCTCTTGTTTTTCTGGAAGGCATGGTTTGACTAGGTTCATGGCTTCCAATATACATAATGCTGGTTTGTTGTTATTATATAGTTGTAGTCTATGATAATGAAATTTTATAATCTTTAAATTTACCATTAATGTTTGTTAATGTGCAATGAAACCTTTACCTTCAAAATCTACTAAAGATTATCTCCAATCTCAAACCATGCTTTCATGAAATATTTTTGTTATCCTGTCACAATTGAAAGATTATCTCCAATCTCAAACCAGGACTTAGAATTAACAATAAATAATAGTAATATATTTAATAATCATAGATTTATTTGTTAAATTAGAGTTAATGAAGTAAAGACCGAATTAAAGAAGATGAAAATAACTAAAAGTGTGAGACCTAATGATATCCCTATTGAGGTCTGAAAAAGTTTAAGGAACAAGAGAGTAGCTTGGTTAAATAGCTTATTTAACAAAATCATGAGATTTGAAAGGATTTTGATGAATGAAAAAAGAGTTTTTTAGTACTAATTTATAAAAATAAGGATGACATATAAAATTGTTCAAATTTATAGAAGAATTAAAATCATGAGCCATACTATATAACTTTAGGAAAGAGTTATCGAAAGTAGGATAAGGCTTGAAATAAAAATATTTAAAAATTAATTTGGTTTTATGCTTGAAAAATCAACCATAGAAGCTATTTATTTATTATGATAATTATTGAAAATATATAAGAAGAAAAAGAAAGACTTATGTATGGTTTTTATTAACTTAGAGAAAACATATGATAGGGTTCCTAGAGATTTATTATGGTAGGTTTTAGAAAAGAAAGGTATATACGCTAATTATATTGATGTTATTAAATATATGTATGGTAATATAGCTACTAGTGTTAGAATTATAGGGAGTGTGTCTAGTGAGTTCCCATTAGCATAGGATTACATTAAGGATTCGCATTAAGTCTCAATCTTTTCACATTGATAATTGATAAACTTACTAGTCACTTACATGATAAATCTCTCCAGTGTATTTTATTTGCTGATGATATTATCTTACTTGATGAGAGCCTAAATGAAATCAATTATAAACTTGAGCTATAGAGGGAAACCTTAGAAACTAAAGGTTTTAAATCAAGTATGACTAAAACTAAATATATAAAATATAATTTTAGTGATTCTAGAAATAGACAAGAGAATATAGTTAAATTGGATAGACAAAAAGTCTTTTTAAGAAAAGACCTTAGGTATTTTGAATCAATTATCTAACAAGATGGAGAGATTACCGAAGATATTATTTATAGAGTAAAAACAGTATAGTTAAAATGACGAGGGAAGTCAGAAGTCTTGTGTGATCATCATATATCTTTGAGATTAGAAGAAAAATTTTATATGACAATTGTGAGACTAACAATGCTTTATAGATCTGAGTGTTGGGTAGTCAAGAAAAAACATATACAAAAAGTTTGTGTTACCAAGATGAGAATGTTGAAATGAATATGTGGAGTTACTAGAAAAAATAGAAAAAGAAATATTTTTATTTGTGAACAACTATGTATCACTTTGATAGAAGATAAAATGAGAGAAAATTGTTTAAGATGGTATGGGTATGTGTTAAGGAGACTGCCGGATGTGGTAGCCAAAAGAGGTAAAATAATTATTATTAATGGTACATAGAGAGGCAGAGAAAGACTTAAAAAGTTTTAATAGATACTATAAATAAATATTTAAGTACTTTGAACTTAACTAAACATATGACTTTTTATAGATCTCAATGGTGGTAAAAGATCTATGTAGCTAACCCTAAATAATTGGAACTTACAGTTTTGTTATTATTGTTATTGTTGTTTTTGTGTCACCGTCGTAAGACAAGTTGGAAAAGTTTACTTGTGGTCGGTTGTACAAAATCAAGCTCCCTATTGATATCAAAATCATCAGTATATGGAAACATCTGATACTTCAATAGAACAATCAAAACAGCCTGAAAACAGTAGTGTACTATTTTTTACCTGAGCTTGGTTCTGAATTCTATGCATTCAGATTATTAGTTGATTATATTAAATCTTCTTTTAATAGTTGATAAAGATAAAACACTACAAATCTGATTTTAGCAGTTATATAAAGTTCAAAGAACATGACTTATTCATCAGCATAGCTCTTTGTCGACTGGATAAAGCTTTTGGTTGCAGTTCCTGGTAGGGATGCATGTGAGATAACAATGGTGCACCAAGAAGATGCTGGACTCAATATTGAGATGGCAAAACTGGCATTTGCCAAGGGAATATGGAGCTATGTGTCTAAGATGAATAGCGCACTGCGTCAATATTCTTCCCATCCTAGTCGTTCAATATTGGTCCCCATTCTTCTTAGACTTACTAAAAAGGTCAGCATTACTAGTCCAACTTCAAGTTGTTTAATAGTTCTTTGATGGAATGGGATAAAAGAGAATCAGATTCTCACCATTTAAGTTTTCCATTTAATCTTAGCAAAATAAGGGTGTGTGTAGATGTAAGCAAGCAAGATAGATATATTTCTCAAATGCAGCTGGTTTTTGCTGTCTGCATTGTTATGTGGCTTTACCTAGATAAAGTTTAGGTCATCTATGTGCAAGTTTCTTTTTGAATTAGTGTTACTTGTTGTAAACAATCAGAAGTTTTCCCTGGTCTCTCATATTGTCTGGAATGGCTTTTACCTTCTGAAAAGGGCATTTGAATAGATCTATGTTTATCTGAAATTCTAAAATTCAGTTGCAGCTAATTATCTGTAATATGTGATGCAATAAATTGATTCTTTGGCATCCTTGACAACAAGTGGGTATTGTTTGATATTCTTGCTTCTAGCAAAATGCCTTCCTCATCATGTTTCAATACGATAAATATGACTGGAATCCATGTGGTTCCCTTTTTTCCCTACTAACATGAACTCCTGCCTAATAAGCTGCATGCTTGACCATCTCTGTGGTGGCTTTTATTTGCTAGCACCTATGCCAATTGTTCAGTTCATCAGAATACCACTGCAGTTGTTTAAAAGGCTTAGCCGTTTATCAAAACCCTTTTACAAAGATTCGTGCCATGCAATGTCAATACATGGTCAAACCTGTTCGCACCACCACTGAGTTCTTCTGTCTTGTCCGCTGTAATGAAGACAGATGGGTTTGTTGGTCTATGTAGCCATGCTGCTTTATGCATCTGTAAACAATTTCCTTAAGTTCCGAGTTGATGAAATCATAAAAGAACCTAATTTTTTAAAACTGAAGTAGATGTTTTTTCCTGACTCAGGTCCCACCAGAGTTGGAAACGAATGCTGCTGAGACAAGTATTCAGAAAGTTAAAGAGAGATCAGGCAGTGACTTTGGCAGTCAAAGTAGGGTGGATATTTCACAGAAAAAACCATCTAGATCTTCAAAGAAGTGGATAGCAAACGGGCTTTTGCTTCTTGGTGGCATCATTTGCCTTTCTCGACGCCGCCCGAACATTGGCACCCAGCTGGCCATGGCATGCATTTTAAAGAAGCTTATGAACAATGGAGCAGAGTCAAGCCAAGTTGAGTCTGCCCAACTTAGACCAGATCATCGAAAGACCAGACATATTGGTTGATTTTCATCAATAAACCTTCTTCAGCCTGCTATAAAGTCCTGTCTCGCAGGACATCTAACTGCTCCAGTATTCAGTTGTTTATGTAATCTCCATGCCGTCATGATGCATGTTTTCTTTTTGTTTTTCCTCGAATGTAAAAAGGTCATGATGCATGTTTTCTTTTTGTTTTTCCTGGAATGTAAAAAGGAATCAGTCGTGTATTTTCTTAAAAGGTCGTCTAGTTGTTAATAGTGTGATTGATGAATGCATTGCCTTGATTGGTACGGCAATCAGTCATTTGTTTTGGGATGGTTAATCATCCAGATGACAAAATTAACTATAGTGCACTGTGATGCACCACAATGCAACAATGAGTTTGTTTTGGGATCTAAAGATGTATTATTGAGATCATATAAATGTTTTCCTAATTGTTCTTTTTTTTCCTTTAGTCATGTACCAAAGATTTAAAGATGTATTATTTAAACTTATTGACCTTCACAAACTTGGATCAACAGCAATGAGTTGGTCAATTAGATTTGGTGTATTATGCCACAGATGAGTCTTTGTTTCCTGAACCTGCCTCCGGTAGAGAGGCCTTGGTTAGGTTAATGTACTGTTACACATTGCCTTTCCATTGCAAGGACATTTTTAGATCATCCAGCATCAAAGCAGCGAGCCTTTTCTAATAAATTTCTAGTTGGTTTGGAACTGTCAACATGGAAAAGAGGGACTCTTCTAATTTCTTATCATAAACCCTCTATTCTTATCTATAAATAAATAAAATCTTCTAAGGACTAAAAATATAATGTGTGGATATGTAAATATATAAATACACGAATAAGAAGATATAAGGATATATGACATTATTGAGAGATTATATATCTTCTCTCGTCTCCCCTCACGTGAATCAATCAATGAAAGATTACATATCTTTTTTCATCTCCCCTTTATCCCTAATCCATTACTCATAATAGTCATGTGAAGGATAGAAATATAAAAAAAGATGAATCTAGTTCTCCTTGTAGATCAACATCATTATAATTTTCAGATCCAATGACGACGCGTCCGCATATCAAATAAAAGCTTTTTAAACCACATAGAAAGATATACATCATAAATTTAGATTTATTATTGTTTGATTTCAGATTTTGATAATAAAATTTTTCATATAACTAAAACATAAGGATAGTTTTTATGCTCACATTTGGTATTAGAGCCAAGTTTATGAAATCAAATACTTTAGATCTATTTGTTAATACCTTTGGCTTGCAAAAAGATATTATTTGGTTTTTATTTACTATGCATGAATGATTCATCTACATTGTCGATTTGCTTTTCTATCTAATTTGTCATGTCACTTGCTTGTAAGCAATGCGAGGTTTATTGTGCTTGATTGATGGACCACTATCGACAGCTTTCTATCGATAATAATATTCTTAAGGGCAATGGCCTTTGGTGATCACTAGTCTAAATGCAACCATTGTGGGGTGCAACAGCCTAAGGTGGCTGCACAACATCACTACATGCGATGGTTGCGTAAAGCCGCTATGTATGACAGCTTTGGCCACTATTATTGCGTTTAACAATTACAACAATGCCATTGCGACGGTATTTACTGGTCGTAGTCGACGTCACTGAATGCCAAAGGCCAACGGGGTTGCTAGGCGACGTGTGTGTGTATAGCCACATCGTGGCAATCATGGGGATCGATAGGCGACATATGCGTATAGTCACATGTGGGTAGAGGAGGCCACGTGCAAGCGATGGCTATCCACGGTGGCAATAACTATGCCTCACACAATGATCACAGAAAGAGAGTAACAATTAGGGTTTTTAATTAAAAGGATAGTTTTATCCCTTATAAACCAAATAATTTCAATATGTGTCCCTAAGTTTACTTTCCAATTATGCCATTAAAAAATTAAAAAATTATTATAATCCTAATTAAAAGTATAGTTTTACCCTTTAGAAATTAAAAATTCTTAACTCATATCCTTAATTATAAAATTAATTAATTTGATTTATTTTAATCAAATGCTTTTATCATGATTTTCTTGTGATTATTTGATTAGATTTAGATTCGATTAATTAAGTCTTGATAAAGTCAAAAAATAATAATTTTTAATTAATTTTTTATTTTAATCTTATCGAGCCTAATTGGGCGAATGGTTGACCCAAATCTATGAGTCCAATTTGAGTAGCCTCATTCTGAATTTGCCCAATTTAATAGGGTTAACTGGTATAAAGGTTCCATACAAAATTAAAAGTTATATAAATTATAGTTTTTTATGGTTTTCTTATATGACATATTGATAATATTTTACATATAATAAATAAAAATTATTATTCTTAGATATTTATTTGATTATTCACATGCATATGCTTGAAATTATAAAATAGTATTTATTTTCACATAAATATATTATTTATGTTTTACCATGATTATAGTTATCATATGAGTTTTTTATGTTGATTAATGTTTGATAATTATTACCGTTATTATTTTTTATTATGATTGAACTATTTCAATATAAATTAGATTGAAAATTTTTTGTAAATATTATTTGTAACTCATATCCGTATATTTTATCTAATTGGTAGTTGCTAGAGAAGCTTAAGATGATAGACTTATGGGATGTGAATTACAATAAAAATGTTATCATTTATAAGATATTTTAAATTATATTTTATATTATTGATCTTGAATTGTCAAAATAGCCTAGACCAATAACTTATAAAATTATGTTAAGAAATTAATCTTAAATTATATTAAAAAAATAATATTCATAATGGTATACATAATTAAAAGATTTAAATAATTTAAAAAAAATTAATTCGAATAATTATGTGATGAGAGAAAATGATACTATTTTTTATAACTTTATAGTTTATGGTTATATATTCAATGGTAGTAATACTATTTCATAGGGATGGCATCAGTTCTCTATAAATATTTTTATATGTGAACATTAGATATTTTGATATTTTATCTAAAGGTGAAACAGAGATGATATTGATAGTTTAATATTTATTAAAAATCTTAAAGTATTAATATTATATTATTTTATTATAGTGATACTTTCTTCCTTGTATATTGATAAATGTCCATATTTTTTTAGATTAAATTATTATAAATGGCTTGATCATATGTAATTTACATTGTGTGTATTAGACCTTACTTAAACTAGTTGAAAGGATCACATACTTAATTATTGAAAAGTTATGTAGAATAAATTATTCAAATAAATGATCCAAAAAGGTTTACAAGACTTGATTTTATGGTAATTGTTAATAATATTTAGACTTCATTATATTATATAACTAGTGTATTGAAATATTTTAAGATTAATTTAAATTTATTAATAAATCATTAGTTAATGTATTAATGAAAGAACCAATCGTTTGATAGAATTTGAGGAATTCAATATTATATCCTTTGTTATAATTGGGTTTGTGAGTAACCCATAAAAGATATGGTGATGGATATATAAGTGAACATTATAATTGACATTCTTATTTACATAATTAAAATTATTTATTTTTATTATCTTATATATATATATATATATATATATATATATATATATATATATATATATATATATATATATATATATATATAATGGTTGAATGTGTTAATATAATTATCTTGATAAGATAAATTACATGGGTCATTCTGGACTATATTATAAAGGGTTAATAGTGTTATAATACATAAAAAGAAGTATGATATTGATGAAATACAATCATTATGATTTACATTGATACTAAGATTTAATATGGTATTATGCTTATTGAACTTATTAAACTATTTCATAAAATTCATATGTATATGTAAAATAGTTTTTCAAAGTTTTAGAATCCAACTAAATAAAATTATTTTTAAATAAAATTTTATTTTATTTATTTTGATTTTAGTTTTGTTATATCTTACTAATTAATGAGTAAAATGAAAGGATATTATATTATATTACTATATCTAATTAGGTAAGATATATTATAAATTTGATTGGATTTTGACTATAATTTTGATCAATAGAAAGAAAGTTTAATTATGATAGGATTCCTTAGAAGATGACCTTGATCGGAGGGACTCATCTAATTACTTATCCCAACCCTCTACTCTAAATAAACTTAAGAACTAAAAATATAATATATGAATATACGGATATATAGATAATATGAAATGAGGATACATGACTATCACACGAACTAACTAATATTAATGAGATATTACAAATCTTCTTCCTAACGATCGTGTGATAATATATAGAGAAGAGCAAACGAGTCTAATTCTCTTTGCATGTCGACATTGTTATAATCCAACAACAATATGTCCGTAGATCAAATAAAAACTTTCTAAACAATACGAAAAATATACATCATAAATTTAAATATAATATTATTAGATTTTAATTTTTAATATTAAAATTTTTATATAATAAAAACATTGTCGTGCTCTTCGCTGAGTATCAGCCGTAGCAACTTCTCGACCTCTCTGGTTGCGATCCATGTCGTTGTGATGCTCATAATGTCAATACAGAAGCAAACCTTGGACAGCGATCTCCGAGCTGGGGCGAAGAGACCGAGACAAGCGGCATTCCAAGACGTGCTTTGGATTCTCCACCGTCGATGGCATCTCCTCTCAGAAGACGAAGAAGCCAATAAGATATCAATGTCATCCATGATCTCATTCTGTGAAATAAGATGATAACTTATATGTCCCAGCAAAAAATATACACTGGGCGAGGCTTTTTCGTGGTGTCGTTGAATGTCTATGGGCATTGCCGTATTACGCGGTTGGATGCTTGCCTGGACAGACGCTAATGTGATTACGCGTGGGTCCCACATAGAAAACGCAATCAGATGTACGGGTAAACGACATGTAGGTCCTCCGAAGGGGGGTGTTTATTACCAGGTTTTACCGTTTCCGGCGCCGACTCTTGCTCGTATCCTCCTCCTCCTCGAAATAAATACCAAACGAAACGAAACGAATCATATTTCCCGCTTCGCTCCTCTCCTCTATCGTCTCTTTCTCTCTCTCCCTTCCCAAAATCCTCGCGACCCGGAGAGCCTCTTTTGCCGCGGCGATTAGAAGGGACCGAATCGCCTCCGAGTTCCACCGTAACTGCCTTCGTCGACGCCGACGCCGCTGCAGCAGGGGATTTCCGGGGTTCGTCGAAGGCAGGCAATCGGATCAGGGGCTGGCGAATGGACCTACGGGGTTGAGGCTCTCTTTCTCTGTCCGCCCCCGGGGGAAGGAGGGAGCCGGGGGGGGGTGGGGGGGGTGTATCATGGGGAGCTGCCTTAGCTCGATAGACCCCTATTCCCCTAACCAGGCCGGATCAGGTGATCTTCCCCTCTTTAATCACACATCAATTTCTTTTCGTTCTTAGTCCATCGTAGAATCTGAAACACGGCATTACGAACTTAGGTTGTGTGGTTAATGATTGCCTTTCATGTTAACTTGATAAGCTTTTGTTTACATTAATAGATGATATACTATTTAATATATATTTGATAGTTAAGCTAGTAGCAAGATTTCTGTTCTCATTGTGGGTCAATTTACGAATAACTTGAATTCGTCAAGTAAAAACTCGATTATTCTATTGGAATACAAACAATATATATATATATATATATATATATATATATGTATGCATATATGTATCAAATTAACATGAAAAGCAAATTCAAACTCAACTTGTTTGCTTGTATTCGAGCTACTATGGAGCCAGTTCGAGTTGATCCTGAACTAGCTAGTAATGAGAGGAGATATTTTGTTACTATCTTAACGATTCAATATATAATGTTTTTTTTTATTGATATAAACCAAAGCTTATATGTTATCAAGTTAACATGAAAAGCAAGCATTAATCTCAATAATCTGCACACACAACCTAATTTGTAGTGTCATTCTACTTGAAGAAATCCCATGAACAATGGACATACAACCTAATTGGTAAGGGAGATTACTTAGTAATATAGGGATACAATACATAAACCCTTCAGCACAGCTATTCCGAGCTTTAATATGGTGATTACTGCTTTTCTATAGGAGAAATAAAGAACATCACTTAGTCTAGTCAATCTCTATATATATGTTAAGGTACAGATTACGGTGCAATATCTGGTAACAAATGTTGTATCTCTGGATAAATAAGTAAGTTTTCTAAGAAGATGTGTTACATATGTATTACTTCTGCAAGTCCGGTAGCTGTACTTCTTGTATGTACAACTACTTACATTTCACCATGAAAGACTGAATAAACAAAATGTTTCGTTACTTCATGGCTGACTCTTTGTAATTATGTTATGAGCATCCTGAAGTTTAGGCTGTTCAGACTTCAGTATGAGTGGACTCAACGATGACCATATTTTTTTGCTGCAAATAGTTGCAACTGCAAGTACTAATCAACTGAAACCTTCCTCGGTTCAAATTGGTAATGCTTCTTTAGCATCAGCTCCTACCCGAGAACAGAATGTTGCAGAGGCGACCAACAATGTTGTGAGTTTGCCTGTGACAATCAAAGACGTGGAAGACTTCCGACAGATGCCTGGCTATGGCAATGTCCAAACATTTACATATGAAGAATTGAGGCTGGCTACCAAGAACTTTCGTCCAGATTTAGTACTTGGTGAGGGCGGGTTTGGCCTTGTCTACAAAGGTACTATAGATGATAATGTCAGGCCAGGTTTTGAGTACACTCAGGTTGCTGTTAAAAGGCTTAATCCAGATGGACACCAGGGAGACAAGGAATGGCTGGTAAATATCATTTCTTTCACTTCTCATGAACATTAATTCTATTTACTATCATTTCATGTATGCTTCAGCAATAGGGTCCCTGATAATTGATCCTCAAGTTTACTCCATGCTTGAGCATAGACTCTGCCACTACCATAGAGAAAATTTGAGCCGTCGCTCCACTTCTCAATTACCAATAGGAGTCCTTGGCAAATCATCATTTCATTTACTTCTAGCTGATAAAGTTTTTTCTCTCTGTCTGATCTTGAAAGAAAAAGTATTGTATATATATATATATATATATATATATATATTGTTTCAGACAGTAAACCAATTTATATGATGAGTTTGAATGGTCTATTCAGAGGGTTTGTAGTTCATCAGCTTCTTCCTTGTTTGTCAGGCAGAAGTCAACTATCTTGGGCACTTCAGTCATGCAAACCTTGTCAAGCTTATTGGCTACTGCTGTGAGGATGAACATAGGCTTCTGGTTTATGAGTATATGACCTGTGGGAGCCTAGAATGTAAACTCTTCAAAAGTATGATGATGATCTCATATGCTCTTATATACATTTTCCGTCGTTAAGTTGATTTCTTTGTCTAATAGGAACCATGTTTGACTTGGCATGCTTTTGGTATTCACAAATTCACTTAGTTCTGAGAGAACAGTGACTATTAATTAGGTCAAGGATGAAACATATAGCTAAATGTCCTATTTTTAGATAATGAATGAATTTTCCCAAGTTCTCAAAGTCAGGACGAAGATAATTGACTATTGTATCATCTTAAACTTCATCGTCAGAGGGGTGCACTACCATGCCATGGTTGACTCGGATGAAGATAGCTCTGGATGCTGCAAATGGGCTTGCCTTTCTTCATGGAGCTGAAAGACCCATCATCTATCGTGATTTCAAGACATCAAACATCTTGCTTGATTCGGTTTGTCTTCTTCCACCCTCTCTTAACCATGTTTCTCTGTTTACAGTTTTTGTTCTTCCAAAAGGAGCATAAAAAGGCCTTCATGTTTCGAGAATCTAACCAGTTAGCTCGTTATACAATTAAGCAAGCTTCGATTATAGTAAGTTGGCAAGTCAGGTTTGTCTCTTGGTATAAGAATTCAAGTATCCAAAAAAGATGGTGCCACATCTAGAAACTGTATGTTCAATTTAAACTTGAAGCTATTCCTTTATGTTCTTATCAAAATTATTTTAAATTGATTTGTAACAGATGAATTAGTGAAGAAATGATAAAACTTATGTACTGGAAATATGCAAAAGATTGTGATGGTGTTTGTGAGAACACAGTCAGTTTCTGTTTAATTAAAGACAACTGAAGTGTGAGTTTTCAGATTATTTGAAGACCCTTTCTTTATGCAGGAGTATAATGGAAAGCTTTCCGACTTCGGCCTTGCGAAGGAGGGACCTATGGGAGAGCAAACACATGTTTCCACCAGGGTGATGGGAACCTTTGGTTATGCAGCTCCAGAGTACATAATGACTGGTAAGCAATAAATTGAGCTTGGCATTACCTTCCATTAATCCATACCATGTGGTATTTCGCTCTTTACATCTTAAACGCCATTCGTTTTGGCCATTCATTGCCAGTAAATTATGCATACAGATTGCACATTATCTGTTTGTATGTCAAATGTTACACCGCAAAGGAAAAAAGCAGAATGAAAATTAAAATTAATGTTAGTATTACAGTATAAACTATGGTAATATTTTATTAAAACTTAATATAAATTGAACTCTTTTCTAAATGTTTTAACTCAATAAAAACATTTGTCGCGGCATCTCTCTTCATTTCATCTAATTTTCAGTTAATATTTTGTGTAATATCTTTCCTTCTAATTTACTATTGGCAGGCCATCTAACCGCGAGAAGCGACGTGTATGGGTTTGGAGTCGTGCTCTTGGAGCTGCTCGTCGGACGCAAAGCGTTGGACCGGAGCAGGCCGAGCCGAGAGCACAACCTGGTCGAGTGGGCTCGCCCTCTGCTCGTCCGTCGCAAGAGGCTGTTCAGCGTCATCGACCCCAGAATCGGAGGCCAGTATTCCAATGCCAACGCGGAAAGGGTGGCGAGATTGGCCTACGACTGCCTGAACCAGAACCCCAAGGCGAGGCCGGCAATGAGCGAGGTGGTGGCCGTCCTCACAGCGGTGCTCCGCGACGAAGCAAGCCTTCCGCTGTCGGGATCGGAGGCAGCAGTGACGCTGTACGAGGCTCCCAAGGAAGACGCGCACAGCCCTGCGGTGGCGATGAAGAGAGAAGCCGCGGAGCGCTCGTGAAAGCGAGAGACTTCCTATGGGTTGCAGGAGCAACAAAAACAAACGTAATAGAGTTTGTTCTTTATCATTAGTTAAGTTCCGACAAATACTTCTCTTATGAGTTCCCCGTATTCACATTTTATTCTACCACCACTAACCACTAAAATACTCGGAAATAAGCTAGAAAAAAACAAATTGAGGCACTAAACTCCTCCAATTGATTAATCGATGCAATGTAAATAAAGATTTAGATGACACTGGTGGAGTGCTAACTACATAAAGGGTTGACAAGCACATAAAGTGAGATGGAAACCCTCCCGAGTGTAAACTCATCTCCTTTCAAGTGCTCTCGATCAGTTTCAAGAACAAGAGCTTTCTAACATTTTCTATGCAAGCATGACAGCGTTGCTTGAACAAATGACGCACATCATTCTGCTAATTGAATAATGAGCAAATGACACATCATTCTTGAGTTCTCGTCTACTTGAAGAAAAATTACCAAGGACATAAAAAACATTACCGGACACGTAAACTTTGAGAGAGAAAAGATCATTATCATTGGCCCGATCCATCGTTGTTCATAGAACACGAAGAAAAAAACCTTTTTTCTCATACTCTAAAGAAGACGATCTTGTTGGACTCGTTACCTATTTCTTATTTCCTCCGGATCAAAGCACAGGATGATGACAACACACAGAATCATTGACTTACTACATCTGTATGTCATGTGTCTGCCATGTACATATTTGTATACGTGTAAGCAAAGGTAGTGCGGAATTCGCAAACTGGATCAATTCAATTGACAGTGAGTGGAAAGCCAAAGTGCTTGAGAGTAGAACAAAAGCAAGCACATACAGCAAGGGAGATATAATGAATCTGTTGCAAATTGAAACAACATGTTGCAAGGAAAATAGAAAAGATATGTGAATAAGAAGTCCTTGACAACACCAAAGAGTTACGAAAGAAGTGAAGCTAGTTAACATTGCTGATAATTTGCTTGAGAAAAGAAGGTGATTTCTTTCGGAGTCACGAACAAGGATCACTTTTGCAGTTGACCGAGATCTAACAGATAATAAAAAGATCAGTGAGAGTTCTCGTCAATTCCTCATTATAAAGCTATAACCGGAAAGATAGAGGAACAGCATAAATCTGAGACACACCACAGTTTGATCTCACTGCTTCATCTAACCAATATCAGTTCAACTTTTGATTTTGCATGAAAGCACTAAATTGATCCCATTTTTGTTAAGCAAGAAGCTTTTCCATCCATCATATTGTGGGCAAGATGTTATGCATCTTTCGCACATGCTTGGCATTAGAATAGCTCAAATTCATTGATAGAACAAGTAACAACATCATGTTAGCTAAAGGGCATTGTCTGATACAAAATTCTAATATCAGATTTTGCATGAAAGCACTAAATAGATCCAATTTTCGTTAAGCAAGAAGCTTTTCCATCCATCATATTGTGGGCAAGATGTTATGCATCTTTCACACATGCTTGGCATTAGAATAGCTCAAAAACATCATGTTAGCTAAAGAGCAATGTCTGATACAAAATTCTAATATCACAAAGCAATCATTAACAAACAGCATTGAGTATGTTATAGATTTATTGATTCAAGCGAAGTGGCAAACATAAGCATATTGTGATTTGCTAAAAAATGGCATTTTGATTGCAAACATAGCCGTAATGTTTTCATACTTAACCAGATCAAGACTCGATCAAGCTAATATAGTGCATCTAAACTACATGCAGAAATCTTGAAGTCTCATAAACCAGCAATATAAAGATGACAAGCATCAATTCAAAGCAAACTGACCCGAATGCGAAGGTAATTAAGGCTTACTCGAGCGGCACCTCGACGTCGCCATCGGAGATCTCCTGCTGGAGATCCTTGGGATCCTTCCCGTCGACGGTGCAGCCGACAGAGACGCAGGTGCCGAGGATCTCCTTGACGGTGCCGCTGAGGTCCTTGGCCATGGACCTGGGACTCATGACCCTGGCGATCTCGACGACGTCGTCGAGGGAGATGTTTCCGTTGTGCTTGATGTTTTTGGTTTTCTTGCGGTCGCGCTCCGGCTCCTTGAGGGCCTTGATGACGAGGGCGGCGGCGGAGGGGACGACGGTGACCTTGGCCTGCCGGTTCTGGACCGTGAGTTTGACGGTGACGCGGAGGCCCTTCCAGTCCTTGGCCGTCTCTTTGGCGATGTCCTCTCCGATCTTCTTCGGGGACAGCCCCAGGGGACCAATTTTTGGCGCGAGAGAACTCGCCGCGCCGACCTCGCCTCCTGTAACCCGCACGTAGACGTCGACGACCTGGGTCGGATCGAACTTGGGCGGCATCTCGACGGCGGCGACGGCAGAGAACCGGGACTTTGGCGCTAGGGTTTTTGCGGAGAATGAGACGGCGGCGACACCAAAGACATATATATATATTCTCTCATCCTTGGACCGGTTCGTATCGACTGTTTCTGAACCCGGTTCAACTCTATATAACAGTCACCCGTCCAGGTTGATTGATACATGGCTCAACCAATCATCAACTTGGAAATGTCATGAATGACCATTCCATCTTTGAGTCAAAACGACGAGCCATGCATATTGATTGGAGGCACAATTGCCAAGCATCGGGTAACGGATCAAGATCCGCCTATGCTTTAAATCCGAATACCATATGAATCCGAAATATCGATCCAGATCCAACATTTCAATTATTTTACAGGCTTAAACGACTTCAGTTCTGCATATTGTATGTACTATCGCAGACTGGAATCAGAACTCCAAATATCAATTGCTTTTGGTAACTTGGAGTTCCACACAACCGCGCCCTTCGCCCGTCCCCTCGTGCCCTCGACCTTCACGGTGACATTTAAACAAACAACATAGGCGCAAGCCATAATAGGAACGATCATCTTCTGACTAGGCGTGTTGCTGATCATTGAATGTTTGATTGGGAGTTGGCCTCCTTATTTTTCCGGTTGGTGATTTCATCGGAATGATCTGAAGGCTTACATCAAACCAACATCGCGAGAACTCATCGATCGTGCATGGCCGAGGGATCTGAAATGAAAACTACGAGAGATTTACCCCTTGTCGAATGTGCACTGGGTGTTCAAGCAAATACCTGCGTAGTAAAAATTCTGTCAATGATATCGTGCCACAATTAAAGATAAGAAGTATATAACAAGCGCAAAAAGGATCGAAAGGACCAGAATCTTGCATCAGCAATGTCAATAAGTAACAGTGGTTGTTATTACATTCGACATGATTTATGATAAATATTAATTCATAATTTTAAATATATACATGTGAATAATCAAATAAATATCTAGGAATAATAATTAAATTTTTAATTATCACATGTAAAATTTTATCAAAATATCATATGTGAAAATTATTAAAAAATCATAAATTTATAGTTTTTCTTTAAAATCTATATGAAACTTTAAATTAGGCCAATTAACCCTATTTAATTAAGCAAGCAAGGAATTGGGCTAACCAAATTGGGCTCATAAGTTTAAGATAACCATTCACATGATTAGATGAGTCAAAATTAAAATTGATCAAAATAAAAAATTGATCAAAATTTGAGTTTTTTTTTTTTTTCATTTGATTAGGACTTAATTGATTATGTCTAGACCTAGTCAAGCAATCAAAATATAGTTATAATTAAGTTTATTCAAAATAATTGATTAAAATAAATAATTAGTTAATTTTATAATTGAGGACATAATTTAAATTTTTTAAATTTCTAAAGGGTAAATCTATAATTTTAGCATAGGATGTAAAATAAAAAATTTTGATTTCTAAAGGACAAAATTATCAATAGAACATACATTGGAATTAAATATATCTATAAGGGTAAAACTATAATTTCAATTAGAAACACTAAATGTCACCCTTTTTTCTGTGGTCATTGTGCGAGGCACAATCGCCACCATTATGTGTAGCTATCGCCTACCTGTGACCTCCTCCTCCACACATGGCTATGTGTGCATGTCGCCCAATGACCCCCATGGTCGTCACAACACCGCTATGCACACATATGCCACCCAACAACTTTGTTGGCCTTCAACGTCTAGTGACATTAATCGTGGCCAATAGATATTGTGTAGTGACATTGCTATAACCGTCGTAGTTGTTGTAGGCAATAGTGGTTCTGTTGCAACCGTTGCAACCATCGCAGCCATCACGAGTAGTGATGCTACTATAATTATCGTACGTAATGGCATTGTGTAGCTATCGTAGGGTTGCCACAACCCATAGTACTGGGTACACAACCGCTACCCACGATTGGGCAGGCTGGCAACCACTAGAGGTCACTGCCCTCAATAACACTATTGCCGATAGTAAGTATCGATAGTAGTCCGTCAATCAAGTACGAAAAATCTTATATTGCCTACAAGTAGACGATAGGATTGACCGGATAGAAAAGCAAATTAGTAATACAAACAAATTATTCATGCATCGTAAATACAAATTGATTAACATATTTTCACAAGCGAAAGGTGCTAAAAAAATTAGATCTAAAGTATTTGATTTCACAATCATAGCTTTGATATCAATTGTAAGCTTAAAAACCATGTTTATGCTATTATTATACGAAAAACTTTGATGTTAAAATATAAAATCAAATAATAATAGATCTAAACTTATGATGCATAACTTTCGATGATTTTTAGAAAATCTTTTCAGATCTACAAGCATACCATCATCAAATCCAAAAGCTACAATAATGACGATCTGCAAAAAAAATTAGACTCAGTCTTCTTCTCTTTTCATATCCTTTGTAGGACCATTATGACCGATGAATTTAGAGATAAAGGAAATATGATAGAAGATTTGTACTCTTTTATTGACGGATTTACTTGATTAAAGGGAGATAAGAGAATATATATAATTTCTCAATAATGTCACGTATCAACATATCTAAGTATCCATATATCCACGTATCCAATTATTCATATTAAGTCGTATGAAGTTTTGTCATTTTATAGGCGAGAGCAGTGGATCGATAAGTAGTTATAAAAATTTCTCTTGTTAAAGTCATTTTGTAAGGAATTCTATTATATTTGGACTTCCTTTCTATCGATAATCGTAATCAGAATCTAATCATATCCTATATATATCTTACTTAATTAAAAAAGATCACGTAATCTAAAACCTATAAAATTTAGCTTGCTGATTTGGTAAGTAACAAAAATCCATTTTAGCAAGTATTGTTCAAGATCAATTAAAGATAAAGAATTAGTATGAAAAGAATCTTTATGAATAAGGGTTTGATTGTTTTTATTAAGTATAACATCAGGATCTTGATGATTGTTTTTATTAAGTATAATATCAGGATCTTGACGAGGGAAAAGATAGAGGAAAAATATTTTGAATACTTTCACAATTTTCTTTAGAAAATTTAGTGTGTTCATTACGGTGTTCGATATAATACTTTTATATTTTTTAATATTTTTTTTAGCAGATCTAAAAAGTTTAACAAAAATACTTCTTTGATATAAATGGGGTCTTTCTCTACGAACACAGACAAGAAGTATGAATCATATAAATTTTGCATCGGCTTCTTTCAATTTCTGTTTTATTGTTTTTTTTTGTGGTGGTGGTTTACTGGTCTTTCTCTCACAACACTATGAACCTTCAATGTAGAAGAAGAAGAATGAATTCTGGTGGTTTACTGGTCTTTCTCTCAATAACACTATGAACCTTCAATGTAGAAGAACAAGAATGAACTCGAGTGGAACATCACAATGCCAGCAATACACATGTTGATGTTGAAAGCACAGCCAGCATTGCAGATCTATAATTGCAACATCCTTACCAATGGGGATGCTAAAGGTTAGATTTCTACTGCCGTATTCAACCATCATTTACCTCACACAGTAAACGTAAATGTCTCACTGCAATCAGGTTAAGGAACACATCCTTTGCAGTCCCTTCACGTGCCAGCTTGAAGCCACGCTGCGCAGCGACAAGAGCTCTCCGCATTATTCTAAGTATACCTCTGAACACATCAGAGAACACAGCACGCCTTGCTGCTTTTGATCTAAATGTAACATGTTATTACCTGTTCAAACACTAGCAGGGCTCGGCCTTTTGGTTTCTGCTGCACATCTGACACACCACCGACCGAAATCAAAAGGCCTAACTGTAATGGCAGCCAGTTTTGTCCCATTACTTGCCATTTCTGTGGAGTTTCTCACTGCTCAGAAGACAAACATTAATGAGTCCTATATAGGAAATCACAATCCTATTGCCAATTTTGCTGGAAGCTTAAATACAGAGAGAATGCAAACTCACAGCAGGGTAGAAGGTCAGCTTTAGAAACATAATGATGAAGACAACATGGTTTCCAAGATATGATTGGTTGTACCATATGCTGTGACAGGAAATGTGATGCCCAAAGGACTTCAAAAGACTGATAAGCAAATGCAGAAAACATAGCACAGTAATTTATCTGGAGATAAATTGGTTTATACAGTAGTAAAATTCTCACAGTTCTCACCATTAGGTCCTTCCTGCTGTAGATGAGCTATTGTAAATATATTGCAGCTTACAGTCACATAAGTAGTTTTCATCAAAGAGCACAGATCCAATCAATATATAGAGTTGGATTTGATACAGTTCATTCCTGATCAGGTGTTGCACACATTCCCATTAGTATCTTGCATAGATGTTGTACAAGAGAGGATCCAACCTCTGAATTTGCCTGCACAATAGAATCTATATCGAATGTAAATTTCAGAATAGCTGACTAAGCTTTGCGTGCCTAGAGTAAGAAAAAACACTTGAATCTTCTTTAGGGAATAGAGATGCCTATATTTCATATTTCTGGGATACCAACACTTTCTCATATACTTTCCCAGTTGCATATACCACCACCACATGGTTCATGCAGATCAATAAGATCATACAAATATCCCTTCAGTACAAAATAATCAAAATACCTTATAGTAAAGTTGGAGGAGAACCAGTGAAGCTGTGACGAATATTACTCCTGAAAATAAACATGTTGGTAGTATTAAGATGATCCTAATCATGAAACACATCTATAAAGTACAGAAGCTTTTCTTAGTGTCAACCAAAAGGAGCCTTTTGATGACTTCTGTGGATTTGAAGTGGACCCTAATCAACATTGCCAGTGAATGATGGAAAGGTAGTGTGCCACTTACCTTGCTCTGGAAACTAAAGAACACCAGCATAAACACAACAAAGTAGTGCCTAACCTTGTCATTTTTTTCTTGGTGAAAGTCCAAAGAAACCTCTGGAGAAGCTATTTCTTTTATGGGGCATATCAGTAACATGAGACTAGGACATCAGTTCTTCCTAGAGTTCAGTAGATCTACTTGCACATGGATGCAGCTGACAAGTAAGAAGGTAATGAATGGTAAAAGAATCAGGTAAGGCCATCAACTTACCATGAAGTCCAAAAGAAAGATGCTGAATCCCTCGTGATTGCTGCCTTTCAACTGAGCCATTTTTCACTTTTTGTGTACATATCAAAGGGGCAGATATTGCTTTGTTGATGCTAGTCTTGCTATCATCTCCTCAGTATCCTGATGCAAGTTGGGTAAAAGGCCAAGCAACCACCAAGCTTGGAGATGCTGACAACCACCATTGCAAGTGTGAGACACTGATGAGAATCTTTGCACATTGTAATCCTAGGACAAAAAGTGAAAGTGAATAAAGTAGTGATCCAGTACTAAGGAAACACAATTATGTGCTGTAATCATATTCCACAATTCTGTGAGAAGAATAATGAGCATTGACAAAAAAACACAAGAGATGAAACAATAGTAGGAAAGAGTGACAAGTTGATCCATAACTAAAGAAACACAATTATTTGCAATCAGATTATGCACCAAATGTTGTTGACATCTTCCACAATTATGTAAGACATATTTGATGTGCAACTTGTGATGAGAAATGAACAGTAACAGAAGAAGAAAGCAAATCTTGTGTTCCTAAAATTACACAGCAAGAAGAAGGTAACCATTCAAACACAATCTTCATAGCATTGACCGTCGGGAAGAAGGTGGCCACTCAAACACTTGAGAGAGCATAAATCAGCAGTCAAAAATTCAAGTGTTTTTTTCCTTGAATTCAACTGACATCATGCTTCATCGTCAACATCATCATCTGAAACCTCGAAAACCCTCAGAACCCTAAAAATTAGAAGTGAAGAGACAAGAGGAAGAGGAGGAGGTTTACTTAAACGCTCACATCTCAATTCAACCCCGATGTTTAGGATCTCATGGATGGATCTACACTCGTCCCTTCCTTTTTCTTTCCTCTCATAACATTTCCCCTGTACAAGGAAAAGAAGACCGAAAGCAAGACTCAAGCTCTAGTCTTGGGGAGCAACGGAGAGAAGGCATTGTAGGAGGCGGCTTCTCTGCAGGCGGCGGAGGCGTCGCCGTGGCGGGCGAAGAGGGCAAGGAGGGCGTCGAGGCCGAGCGACCCGAACCGGGCCTGGTCCCGGCCGAGCGCGTCCAACACCCAGCGAAAGAAGACCGGGTCGCAGGGGATGGCCAGGCCGCCAGCCGGCTGGAACCCGTACTCCTCCTCCGCCCTATCCAGCAGCGCTGCGAAGACCGGCAGGTTCAAGAACCGGGCCGGCACCACGAACCGCCGCCGCTCCGGTCCGACATACACCGCCACGGACCCTGCCCGGACGCCGGTCCTTCCCCACGACCACCGGCCAAAGCTGATGGCCCGCCACCGGCGCATCACCTGCTTCAGCTGCACGATCTGCCGTATCCTCCCCAGTTTCTTGTTAGCCGTGCACATTCTCCTTCTTCCTTCACTACACACAACAAGAAATAGCGGTGTTCTGCTTACTTTGGCATGAGCTAGAGAGAGAGAGAGAGAGAGAGATCTTGGATGATGGAGATGAAGGAAACCCTGAGGAATTCCGGGAGACTTTATAGCGGAAGAAAAAGGTGGGTTTTCTATGCCTTAGAACAGGTTTTCGAAGGCTGTGAAGGAATTCAAGAAGGATCTTCCCGGTCGCCACGCATCTCGCAGACGGACTGATTCACCCTGAAATTTGTCAGGGTCCGCCACAGCGGTAAATTAGTCCATTTCGTAGGATCCAAACCCGAAATGTCACTGAGAACAGTACGTACTCGACCCGCACCCGACGACCCAACGGAAGTAACTTTTAGGATTTGGATCCGTGTTAACGGATTGAACTCGAATCCGATAAGTGAATTATCAAGGAACGACCGACATACTACGTTTTGTGTCGGCCGTTAAGGCGATCCCATTTAGAAATAGCAGTGTTCTAATAAATACATATTATAATCAGCTCTAAAATTAACGAAAAATAAATCCACTAATTGACTAGTACTATTTTTTCTTTAGATTGGTATACAAATAAAAAGCGTTCTTTATATTAAAAATAATAATTATTTTTCTCATTGTTCCTTTGGCTTAGTTGTTCAATATCTAAATATAAATATAAATATAAATATCGTAATTGTTGACACCAACAGAAAATAATATCCGACACCAATCAAAACACCGAATTTACTGTAAAAGGTTTGTGATGAAGACAAATCCTAACTCTTCTATTATAGATTACATATCCTCGCAAAATAATATCTTATTCTTCAAAGACAAAACGTTTCTAGAAATTTGCAGACAGAAAACGCAGCATGAGTTCTTCCAACCATCAATGGCAATGGAACCATTCTTCTCCGTGTGACCAGCTTGCACCAACTCCCGCAAGTAGTCAGTCATCAAAGCATGGACGTCTCCGTATTCTCATTTTTACGCAGAGGCATTCATTTCCAGCCCCAGTACTGTCGACTGCTTGGAGTCAATAGACCTGTCGCTGCTCCTGAGAGCAGTGGCCAAACAGACTTGACTTCTGAATCAAAAACAAACAAAGGTGCTGTAGTCATACAGCAGAGACGAACGAACAAGAAAGATCATGTCGTCAGAGGCATGAGTTGATCTGACTCTACTGGCAACTGAAACAATAAATCACTGTGCATGCTACATCTGAACAGTGAATGCTTAATACCGAAGCGGGGAAGGAGCTGATCAAAACATCACACTGCAGCAGCACCAGCTGAGAAGGAAGAGTTCGTGGTTGGCACTCTTTCTTCTTCTTGTTTCTTCTATGACTTGATCAACTGCTGCACCTTTAGAATACTAATGCCATTTGAGGCCGACACAACACAGCGTTCGACACACGCACACTTGATGGCGTCTCGGTCAAAGTATGAGTCGTCCGAGGCATCCGCTTGTCTGTACCTGCTGCGTTCCACTGCCTTTGAATTCAGGGCGTGAATGCTGCGAGCTACGACATGAAATCATTGAGGTGTTGGCCAATGTTGGCGCCATTGTGATCCGAGGAAGAGAAGAAAAACGTTAGGATGTACTATCAGGAAAATTTACCTGAGGACATCTTTTTTATTTTAAATATCTAAAAATATTATGAATATAAATTAAGATATTATATGATGCTCGACATTTATCAAAAATTTTAATGTGATATCAGAACAATTCAAATCTTTTATAGACTACATTCATATAAAAATAAAATTTTAATTAATATCCATAAGTTAGATTGAGATATCGTCACAAATAGATGAGGGAGGTGTTAAAATATAAATTTCGATTATATCCCATCGCCTAATTATAGTTTTAAGATGTAGGATTAATTCCTCCTTGGTATTCTTATATTGTCTCAATGTACGATCCATCAAACATATAATAAATAATATATTAACTATTGGGATTTTTCATTTTAAATTTTTTTTATAATGTAAGTTTTCAATTCTAACTTTTAACAAAAGTTATAACAATTGAATAGTTGTGCTCCAAAAATGTGATAGTGTATCTTTTTTTAATATGTTTACATATATCATATTACATTTTAGTTTTTTCATTTGAATTATCTTATATTTAAAAAACTGAAAAAAAAAGTTTACTCGTATCCTATAATGGATTTTTGAAGATGATGATCAATTGTGTGATTTTCATGATAAAATACATTGATCACTTATTACCTCATTAAGAAATGATGTCAAATTCATCTTAGAATTTTACTATGTATTTTTTATATATTGGTGATTGGAGGGTTTTTTTTTATATTCATAACAAATATATCAATTTAGCTTGTTTGAATAAGAAGGAAGACGAAAAAGAGAAATACACGATAAAGGAGAAAGATGAGCATGACAAGAGATATTAAGGATGATAATAGTATAAAAAATATTTATATCATATTATAAACACAAAAATATTCTTGTTCTATAGGGAGGCTCCCATTAAAAGCTCGGAAGGTTTTTTTTAATATAAATTATTCGAAATAGTTTGAATACTCCTGTTGTAATTCTGAATTTTGAGAAAAAATATATATGTTTATACTTATATGAACATTACTAGATCAATCATCATTGACTCCTAAGATCTTAAAATCATAAATCATGTTTCATAGAATGACTTAAGTTCTTAGATAAAATAATAACGATAAAAAAACCTGATAGGGAGTTCAAATTTTATATTAAGATCTTATAACATTGAAAATACACATTTATATATTCGAGTTAGTTTAAAACCTAAGAGAAAGAGTGTTAAGAATATAAAAACATAACATTCAAGTAGATTTGTCTCGAATAATATGGAATATATGGCTATATTATGTCACCATAGAAGGTAATTAAATCAAGACAAAAGGTTGAATTATATAATCCTACTAGCAAGTGAATGGGCACCCAATAATTTAGGAAAACATTAGCATTTGCAATGTGCAAATATGACTAGTTGTGAAACACTCTTCGACAAGACTTTTGGCAACCATAAAGCAAATGCCTAAAAAGAAAACATAACAATTAGAGCATTGAATGTGCATAAAATTTGGAATGCGAGAGGCAAGTATTAAACCATACTTACTTTCCAACAATTATTGCATGCCATCTATTTGTTGTTCTTTCACTAAATTATGTGAAGTTGGCTCTTAATTGCCATTCGTGCAAACTTTGGCAACCCTAAAAATAGGCAGCAAAGTTGGGTGAAATAAATGTGAATGGATTCGAAGGTTTTTTTTTCTTTTTTTTTCACCCCTTATACATATACATATACATATACATATACTTATACTTATACTTATACATATACATATACATATACATATACATATACATATACATATACATATACATATACATATACATATACATATACATATACATATACATATATATATATATATACATGATTTAGTTTTAGTTAAGCAAAAAATAAATATCAAAATACAGCATAAAAAAATTGATGATTTGCAGGCAGTGTCATGCTCAGATCAATCACAATTTATGGAGCTTTGAGTAATGAGTTCTTTCAAGAAATATTAATGTATACTTAGTAATTGTTCATGTGAAATACACCTAAATACAAATAAGAATTGACTCTCAAAAAACTTGTTACCTTTTGGCTGTGCAATCATTTAAAATCTTTTCTTCTAAATTTAAATATCATTAATCATGCATACTCTAACAATGAATATATTTCAACACTTAATATATATCTATCATTTTGCAAAGTATTATTAGAGTGACTTGATAATTAATATGTATTATTAACTTAAACACCCTAATACAAAATAATTTATTTATTTTAATTAGGTTCTCCACCTTTTTCTGGAATTGAGTATTCTCACATTTTAATTTTAATCCTTTGTTGTTAGAGCATTAAAAAGAGGACATGAAAAATTAAGAAATATTAATAAATAAAATCAAGAGTTTTTGTCATTTCTATCAATTATTTTGGAACAACTTCACCAATAAGAACACAAAGTGGTAATCAACTTGTAATAATTGTATCATGAACACATCTTTCAACTCTTTGTTAGTAATATTTCCTCTAATGTAAAAGAAGAAGAGTTTTCCTACAATAAAACAAGGCCTTTAAATTACATATATCACATAGGCCGAAAAAACCGGACTCCGGTTCGGCCGGGCCGATCGCTCTTGGTTCCAAAGAAACCCTTGGCAGTCTCGAACAGGCCGATTCGATTCGGTCAAGCCGAATTTGATACGGTTCGCCCATTTTGGGCCCGACTGAGCCGGATTAATCCGGCCAGATTGCTCTTGGTCCGAAGGAATACCCTAAAAAAGCCCGCCGATTCGTCTCCTTTTTCGATATCGAGATTACCACTCGCGCATAAAGCGAGAGTAGCGAGTGGGCTGGCGCCGGTGAATCCGAGCTCAATCTCGGGTTCATCTACCGAGGCCCCGTTTCGTTCTCGTCGCTTTCTCCATCCTGCGAGCAGGTGAATTCGATCTTTCAACGTGTTTGTTGATGTCTGTCTTGTACTGTTCCATTTGAATCGTATTTCACTTCCCGACATCGCGTTGTCTTTCCTGGTCTTTTTGGATTTAGTTGTTGATTTAGGTGAAATGTGTTATATATTGCTTTTATATTCTCAAGTGACAGGTGAAACTGCAACAAAACTGTTTTCTTGATTTTTTTTGGGATTTGTTTTGTTCTTAGTTTTGGTTGTCATAACCCAAATTCTTTGTTTTTAAGTCAAAGTCTTGAATTTTTCCTTACAGCCTAATTTGTGAGATTAGTCTTTCCCTCCATGACCTTTGGGATTTATTCATAGTTTGTCACACTTATCCATACGATTTTTTTGGGTCCTTTATTCTACTACTTTTTGTTGTATGAACTTTGGTACTTCTTTGCCTTTCATCCATAATATTCCCGTATTTGTCCAAGCGACAAGTAATCCTAATGGAAAAAAGTCAATACATGGATCTGTCTTTTCATTATTGTGTTCCGTTTCATTCTTATTTCTTTTTGGTGTCTTATATGTTATTAGATACAGCCAACTTGGTAGTTTCTTTCATTAATTTATGAATAGTGTGATAGTCTAATCTCCACTTTGGTCACGAGTTTGTACTATATTTTTGTTCCCTTTTTTGCAGATATGGCTGGACTTGCACCAGAAGGATCACAATTTGATGCTCATCAATATGATGCTAAAATGAATGATCTGTACGCCACCTTTACCCTTCTCTCTTTCTATTTTTCTGTATTTGATAGTTTTTCCCATAAGTGATCATTGTACATTTTGTTGTTTGCTTTCATATGGCTAATACAGGCTTAATGCGGACGGACAAGATTTCTTTACCTTGTATGATGAGGTTCATGAAAGTTTCGATGAAATGGGGCTCCAGGAAAATCTTCTCAGAGGCATCTACGCATATGGTAAGTAACTATGACAACATTTTCTAGTTACTCAGTTATGTTATAATTGTTGTTTGGGGTCAGACTTTGAACATCGTTCTTTATAGGTTTTGAGAAACCCTCTGCAATTCAGCAAAGAGGTATAGTTCCTTTCTGTAAGGGATTAGATGTCATTCAGCAAGCACAGTCAGGGACAGGAAAAACTGCAACTTTTTGTTCTGGAGTCCTGCAGCAGCTTGATTATGGTTTGGTTAAATGCCAGGCCTTGGTTCTTGGTCCTACTAGAGAACTAGCACAACAAATCGAGAAGGTTATGCGGGCACTCGGTGACTATCTAGGTGTTAAGGTTCATGCATGTGTTGGGGGAACTAGTGTCCGTGAGGATCAACGAATTCTTTCAAGTGGCGTCCATGTCGTGGTTGGTACTCCAGGTCGTGTGTTTGATATGTTGAGGAGGCAGTCCCTTCTACCTGACTACATCAAAATGTTTGTGTTGGATGAGGCGGATGAAATGCTCTCACGTGGTTTCAAGGACCAGGTATCCTCCGTGATCATTGCCCATGTTGATTTAACAACTTGATTATATTTGTTATGAAGCAAATCTTGATCTTTTTTATTATTGTATCATAAATTTTTCTGGTGATATTATATATATTATGATTGCAAGCATGAATGTGTTTTTCATAAACTTGAAATTGCATGTTTCATTTATGATTAGAGTTCTTACTCAGGATCACTACGTTTTATATTAATGCGCTTCAGGCTCACATGGGTTGGACTGAGCGCTGTCAGTGACTTCCTGCTACAAATCCAACTATTTATCTGTTGACCAACCTAAACATATCTTATACTAGTTTCTGCCCTATAATTTTATGGTGTCTTGTTTGCAATAAATTATAATTTGACAACTCAAAATCAAAAGTTTCCATCTTGATATTTTGTGCTTCATTTTCTGAAGCATCAAATTTATCAGCTTAAACTTCTGATTAACTTAACAGAGTATCTAATTGTTTTTGGATCAGTTATATATTTTGGTATGCTTATATCAAATTTACTTACTCTTATTGCCTTGAAGCTGTTTGTGTTTGTTTTTTGCTTTTCTGCAAAGCTGACCCCTTTTGTCTGATATTCTGTAACTTTTAGATTATCATTTCTTTTCAGCTATTGTTTATTTAGTGGTATGGATCAATTACTCCATTTTGCCTTTGGGCATCATTGTACATCTTCCCCCAATCTTCCAATTATAAGATTGCAGCTCCTTCTCTGATGTAATTATAAGATTGTGTCATTGTACATCTTCCCCCAGTCTTCCAATTATCCATCTTCCCCCTTTTGTCTGATATTTTCTATTATTGCCTTGAAATTTTATTTTCCTACTAAGCCATCAACGTCTCGAACGATGTCCATTATGTTATTGAATCTTGCTACATGTTCTCATCTTTAGAATCCTAGAAACTACAATCTTTTAACTAGAAAAAAAATTAACAGCAAGAATTTTGGATTTGGCAGTATGATTCCAACATAAAATTATTTTCATCCTGTAGGGTAAAATTTGAGAATACAACTGTCTGGAACAATGATTCTTAAACTTCCAGCATTACTTGATACACAGTATTTTGGACATATGTCTGACAAAAGAAAAAAGGCCGACAGAGTGTCTGTGAAATGGCTAAACCAGAATTTTTAATTTTTTGAGAATTCAGACTGATGTTGTTTACATGGCATAGATATCTTGCCATAATCCTCTCATATATTCTTGATATTTGCAATATGATAAAATGGATTACGATTTTTTCATGTTAATGGTGAGGTTACAAGTAGAATTATCTAGTTACTGTTTGTTCCTGATTCATGCTACAATGAAATGCGTCCAAAATCTGTCTCTATTCTGATCCAGTTGTTTGTACTACCAGTAGGAAAAAGAAGACCCCATAATGAGCTATAGTATACAAATCTTCTGTTACCACAGACACTATTCATCATCTACTTTGACTTTTAATGTGAGAATTAATTTTTTTTCCTGTTGCATGCTACTATCTGTCTACTTAGCTCTTTGATGTGATACCAAGTTTGGGATTGCTTATATCACAATGACTTTTTTTACTCTGTCCATGCAAATTATACAATTTCCTTGGAGTTTTCAATTTGATTGTGCTTTGCTTCTTGTTTTTCATTGCTAACAACTGTTGGGTAATGTTGTGAAGATGCTAAAAATCTAATAACTATGGCCCACATATTGCTTGTGCCTGTGGATCTTGAGTATGTGCCTTAAAATGCACTTTTCTAGCTTGTTCACCTGTAACTTTTTGTCTCCCTTTCATCCAATTAAGTCTCGTGAGTCTGAAGTAACTTTTGCCTATAAATTTGACAATTGTTGTATTATTTCAGATTTATGACATCTTCCAGCTACTTCCTCAGAAAATTCAGGTTGGCATCTTCTCTGCCACCATGCCACCTGAGGCCCTTGAGATAACCAGAAAATTCATGAACAAACCAGTTAGAATCCTTGTGAAGAGAGATGAACTTACCCTAGAGGGTATTATGCAGTTCTACGTCAACGTCGACAAGGAAGAGTGGAAGCTTGATACTCTTTGTGACATCTATGAAACAGTGGGCATCACACAAAGTGTTATCTTTGTTAATACCCGACGCAAGGTAGATTGGCTCACTGACAAGATGAGAAGCAGGGATCACACGGTCTCATCAACTCATGGTGACATGGATCAGAACACTAGGGACATTATAATGCGTGAATTCCGTTCTGGATCCTCTCGTGTTCTCATCACCACTGATCTTCTTGCTCGTGGTATCGATGTCCAGCAAGTCTCACTCGTGGTAAACTATGATTTACCAACCCAACCAGAGAACTATCTCCATCGAATCGGACGAAGTGGACGGTTTGGAAGGAAGGGTACTGCAATAAACTTTGTCACTCGTGATGACGACAGAATGTTACTTGATATCCAGAGGTTCTACAATGTGGTGATAAATGAGCTGCCTTCCAATGTTGCTGATATTATCTAAAGAGCGCCTTCTCTCCTAACTTGATATCTAACTTTGCCTTTTTCTTTCCAAGTAATTGTCAAACCATCTATTTTTGGTGGTAAGTTTTGGACCATTTTCTTTCATAGTAAGTTTAAACAATTTATTTTCTTACAAAGTTCTGAAGCTGCTTCTCTTGTTTGGCATCCTTAATCTTCTTTGTGGATTTCCTGAACGTTTACAAATTATGTAGACCCCTAATCATGCTAAATTAGGGTCAAAGCTTTATTTTTCGTTAATGTAGTCAAATGTTCTAACATGATCCAACCTCTTGATATGCTCAAATGTTTCAGCTATTTAATTTTGGATTTCATTGTCCCTGATTGGATCTGCACTCCCATATCCTCAAATATGTAAGCATATTCACTACTACTACTACAAAAATCAATAAATACTAAATGCTAAGTAAAATAGGTTAAAAAACAGTCATTTGATACATACAATTCTGTTCTTGGAACTATTTAACCACTCTACCTGCTAGAAATTACACTTCTTTTGTTGGATTACTCAACAAAAGAAAAATATTACTCTCATTAGGAGGTAGATTAATACTGATCAATTCAGTATTGTCTTCACTACCTATACAGCTATCTATTTCATTTCTGCACTAGTCCAGAAACTCAACTGCAAGATCACATGGGTTTCCTATGCCACTATTCTGCATCACAGCATGTTGAGGTTGAAGGCAAACTCTGTGATCTCTCCTGGATTTCTTCCTTTTTCATTTCTTTCCCTGTCTTTCTTCATGTACTCATTGTATCATATTACTAATATTTTATGTGGCGCCTACCCTCCTTTTCCTGCACCAGAATAATTAAAAGGAAAAAGAAAGGAAAGACTGAAACTGCAATATCAGCAGTACTACAAGCATGTTACCCTAATGTACTGTTAGCTAGGGTTCACTTGACATCTAATTCAAGGAAGCTTGCTGCATGTTCCCATGAAATCAGCAGCACTACTCCCCCTCTAATTTGACTCATTCTTGTCCACTGTCTGCCTATGCGTTCCTGTGTATCTTCACACACAAGTAAAAATCCATTTGCTTACAGTAAGGAGTTGCACTAAGACAAGAAACTAAATCCATCGAGTTTCTCCAACTACCATTTGGAAAAGCGAAGAAGAAGAAGAAGAACATGAAAGCTTACAAGAAACTTCAAGGGTACATCTAATGCAATAAATCTAAAGTCCAGCAGCAGCAGCAGCAGCAGCAGCATCCCTCTCCTTCAGTACGCAGGCCAGTAGCCTTCGAGCTCCATGCAAGAGTCCACATTGTGGTATCTCGTGCCGGCGATCGTGGAGTTTACATCGGTGCTAAACCCTTCACCCATGGCTCCGATAACCCCGTTGGCCAGCTCCGAGGAAGGCGGCTCAGCCACCCCCAGCGGCTGCGTTAGAGGGACTGTCATCGTCCGCAGAGCTGTTTGCAGTGGCGGCGGCGTAGGAGCTCCGAGGTTTAGGTTCAGACCGGCAAGAGTGAAGGCTCCTCCGGGAAGGTTGAACTGCGGCTGGATTGGCAGGTTGAATCCATGGGCGCCTCTGGAGAACCTCGAGAGCTCCATCAACTCGGCGTTGGAGAGATAGCTCCGAGCCGCGCCGAAGTGGAACGGATCGTTCTGGACCAGAGAAGGTATCATGGGGACGTGGTAGGGGTTGAGCCGCGGCTGGTGCGTGGCACACTTCTTCCCGCCGGAACTCTTCATGAAGACACGGCAAACGACCCATTCATCCTGTCACACGAAGGGCAACAGATGCGTGATCGCGTTGCATGATGCAAATGCTGCATCTAACAAAGATCAAACTGTTGCAACTTCTGGCTTGGATATTATTATGAGACTTCCTTGTTCGCTTGATATGACAGCATAAACAAGCTTCATCTTGTTGCAGTAACAGTTATTTATAGGATCCGAAGTAAGAATCATCCAAGGAAATAATACAGTGTAACATTCGGCAAACCCTAATCGAAACATACATATCATAGTTGATAGTGTTACCTTGTTGCCTCTTAAGGCAGATTTAGAATGAAGGCGGTACTCATGCATGACCCAGTTGGTCTTCTCCCCTCTCGGAGCCCTGCCTTTGTAGAAGACCAGTGTCTTCTTCATCCCCACCAGCTCCGACGTGTCGCTGTTGAAGATCTCCTTGTCCTTCCCGGTTGTCTTCCAGTAGCCGGCGTTGGTGGCTCGATTGGTTCGGACTCCGGTCGGGTATTTCCGGTCGCGCAAGCTGAAGAAATACCATTCCTTCTCTCCCATCTTGGCTTTCCCTGTTGACAGGCTTGGAGGGTTAATTGCTGTGTCTATACTCATCAACTGCATCTCAAGGCTATAACTAGAAGACGGAAGAAAGAAAAGAGAAACCTACTCATTCTTAGCTTGCTATCAACTTCTAAGAACATAAGATATACTTGACCTGTTAGGGTAAATAAAGGTTGCACATCCCTCCCTTTCCAACATATGTACAGCAGATCGCAAGATAAAAGAGGAGACTATCCTCTTACAGGCAATAAAGGTTGCACTTGATCTTGATACATAAAGAACCCAAAGTAGAACTTTAGCAACCCCAAGTGATTCTAATCGAAGGTCGAGTATGATGACACGATGAGTTACTAATCAGAAATACTGTAGCATATCTTCTTATTTGTGATTCTAATCACCTGATCATTCCTCTTATAGGATCATCCTTTTACTTAGGTAAGAAAAGAGCGCATGTTAGAACTCACTGAGAATTGGATTTTACCTGGGAGATCCCATGGTTCGCACTTATTGAGATCGACATCTGCGATGGCTCTTGCACCGAAATCTGCCTCGGTGATCTTGTTGGTGAGATAGTGAGTGATTAGCTCTTCATCAGTGGGATGGAACCTGAAACCGGGAGGCAACTGTTCTTCCTCCTTGACCGCTCCTCCTTCCATGTCTATCTCCCTCCAGCAGACGGCACTTCACCCCTTAAACACACTGGAAAGCACAAAGATGTTATGCTTCTAATACTCAAGCTAGATGATCGATGATGGTTTCCTCCCATACATGCATAGCGAAGGGAAGGAAGCCACGAAGAGGGAGGATGGAAACGAGCTATGCGCTTAACGACCAGCAATTACTACCTAAAGGTGGGAGATGAAGAAGATGCCGGTCAAGGAGAAACGCACGGCAGCTCCTGCAGAGGAAAAGCGCCAAAGAGTCGTCTTCTCCACACTGTGACGAGAAGGCTAAGATTTAAGTCTTTTGGTGGGGGGTGGAATGTGTTGGTGAAGCTCTTACCAACTAAGGGTCTTCACTCACAAGCTGCTGAATGAATTAATTAGAGCCAACCGCATGCTCATCCAAACAAAAAGCTATGGGTGGTGACGAATTGTCCCCTCTTGCATGCTCTCTGCAATTTTACTTCTTTATCCATGCCTCGACCATCAATAATTAAGCACTCTACGCTCTATTTCTTGGAACTCTTCATTCTCTCGATCGATCTCTAAGTAAGCAAATCAAAGAAGTTGGGGTTAACAGTTGTTTCCATGCCTTGATATATAGACTCGAGCCCAAGTTAGCTCGACGAACACCATCGTAGCCCATGCATGGTGCTTGCTCGAAGATTACTTTCGTTTTTTCTTTCGAAGATCACTGGAAAGAAGGGATTCAAGTCGATTCCAGTCTTCCATCTTAGGTGGCTGATCAAAAGATTGCCTAATCAAATCTGCATGGACATCATCTTATGGAGCTACAAGATCTAAAACAGGAACAACAACCTCTTTGATGAGAGCTTGTAAGGAAACCGTTGATGAGACGCAGTTGTCAGTCATTAGGATACGCGGATGTGATCGATGGACAAAGTTGGGAAACGAGGCGTCCGTCCTCCGAGTAGGAGTAGGGCAAACCAAGACGAAAGACCAAGCCGACAAGATCACGTATCCCGGACACAGTCAGATTCTGACCAAAACCCCTTCCCCACGGAGGTGGTCAGCAACACGCCATGTGGTGGTGGGGCTCACGTGCTCCTTGGCCCCCAGCCCCTCGTGCAGCTCCACGCCAGCCCTGGCCCCACCCCAACGTCACGACACCCGTTTGACCGGGAAGCAGTCGGTCATGCGAGCCGGGTTGGGGTCTCCCCACGCACAAACCCTCTCCCAGTTTTCTAAGACACCATCGCCACACCAATACTATTTGAATGAAGAAGATGCAGCTGTATCCTGCTTTGGATCGCTCAAATTTAGGATCTCATGGTAGCCATCGGGTGTATTATATCATATCCAACGTTCTTTTTCCTGGTCAATAATTGTCCCTATTTTGTTCCTTTTGTTGTGTTTTTGTACGTGAATCGGAATTTGATATTGTGTTGGCGTTATAAGACATTGATAGTTATTTCTGAGGGACAACGAGACATGGATAGTTGAAGGCAATAATATTACAGATTTTGTTTGGGTTTGTGGAGTTAATTCACATAAGAACTAAGTTAGGTAGAGCAAGTTCTTTTATTAGTATGCATTTAGCTGCACATTAGTCTGACAGACTCTCTGAGGAGACACTGATAATTGAATGCTTTTGTGCTTTTGTCGACAGGCTACAAATATATTCTCTTTATGTACATGAATTGTTTGCATAAAAGAAGATAGGTTTCTTTCCTTATGTTTTTTCTTTTATTTTGAGGTAAAAGTAAGGTTTATATTGCTTCAAAAAAAACTATAGTATGCTTGGTTTTTTGCATGTGTGTGGTTCATCCTAAATTTACAATGTTAATCTATTGGTAAAGGTGACTAGTTATTATGTCATATTGATGTTGCATTTGCAGGTGTTAATCTGTATGTGTGATGCCTAAGATATGTGGGAGCATCTCCCAATATTGCTGATTGCTATTGTCCATAGTTTACATCCTTGGTTTGTTTCATCAGAGCAACAACATCCTGGATTTTGTAATCTTGATCAATGTGACTGAACTAGGGTTTCTGAAATGAGTTACTTAGATGTTGATAAGTACCATAGTAAGATGTTTTGTCTTGAATCTGTGTGTGAGATGAGACAAAACAATCTTGCTCCTCAGATAGCTTTAAATATGTAAAGATTTTAGCAGCAATGTAGTGATTGATACACTTTGCCAATATGTCAGTGCTATCACAAATCCCTTTCTGC